GATGCCCTGTCCTGGGCACAGCTGGTGGTGGCTTGGTGTCACCCCAAGGCATCACTGCCATGGGTCCCAGTACCACGGCACAGGGATGTGAGTGTTGGAGCATCCCTTATGGCCATCACCCAAATCCATTGCTGCTGTGGTGCAGGGACTGGAGGCACAGCGAGGTGGGTTTTGGGGCATCCCTTACAGCCATCATCCCAAACCATCATTATTGTGGTGCAGGGACTGGAGACATGGAGAAATGAGTTTTGGGGCATCCCTTATGACCATCACCCTGATCCATCACCACTGTGATTGGAGGCACAGAGTACCAGGGTACCTCTTACAGCCATCCCCAGGGCAATATCCCCACTGTCCAGCCCACCTGAGTGCTGGACAGGTACCTCAGGCCCCGCTGGACACTCCCCTCTCCTCTCAGGTACCAGTCATACTCAAACCTGGCTCGTAGTAAATGAGCAACAAAGTAGCTTGAGGAGGAATTTCCAGCTCAGTGAGGAGTTTACAGGCCGGTGATTAAAAAATGGTTATTAAAAAAAAATTAGACGGAGGAAAAAAAAAAAAAAATTAGCTGTGCCGCCGGCACGTCTTCCAGGATCTGTCGTAACAGATTTGTCCGAGCCGGTTAACGGTATTTGCGGTTTGCAAGATGCTACATGTCTGGGGAAGATGACAGACACGTTATTATCACCTCTCGCCTGAGATCTGCCCCAACCTGTCCCAGGATGCAGCTCTGCAGCTGCTTGCCGGGGAGTGCAAGGAAATTAGCAGCCGGAGGCAGCACTTTTCTTCTCTCTGCCTTGCCAGGCCAGTGGCTTTATTGGGGATCCATTGACTGCAGTCCTGGACACGTCTTGAGTAAAGCTAATGAGAAGCCTGGAATGTAGGAGAAGAGGAGGAGGAGGAGGTGACTGGTAGGGAGGAGGTGGGGGAGGATTTGTGGAAAAAGCAATTGTTGAGCAAATCATTTCCTTCTAGAGGGAAAGGAGGCCTTGGCTGCGCCTTCCCCAACAGGCAAGTCTAGACTCTTAGGTGTCAACAGTTGAAGATAAATAAGATTTTATCAGCTCCAAATCTGTCGGGACACATCCTCCTAGCGGTTCTGCTGCCCAGGGATGGCCGGGTGAGATGGACTTCGCCAGGAGGTCTTTCCAGGCAGAGGATCCAGGTTATTTTTTGTCTGAGGCTGCCAGCAGCCATGGGAAAAACCACCCCTCCCTGCTCATTTCCTGCGTGGGGAGGCAGCCCTGGGGCTGAGCAGTGGTGGCCTCTGGAGCCATCTCCTGGTCCTGTCTCAGGGTGGGCAGTGATGGATGCTTAGACTCCATGTCAATGCTACATCCACGAGCCATTGGGGGCATTCACTCAGTGGAATCTTGTGGTGTCCAGAACATTTCCTTGGGGCAGCAGCACCAGGATAACCATGGTGAAACCTCACAGTGGCCAATGGCATCACGGGGTGATTGGTTTATGTCCTGTTCCATCTGGCAGTGGTGCAGCATGATCTCATCTCACCCAAAAAGCAGCTGGGTTTCAAATACATCCAAATACCCTTTGTGGTACTAAGCTCTTGGGGAAACAGAGCTTAGAGCTGGTAGGCTGCTAGGAGTTAAATAATTTGGCTTTTCCAATTTTTGGGTTATTACTAGTGCTCTGTACAAACAGCAGTAGCAGGGAAGGGACAGAGACAGAGCTGGCATTACAGTATCAGCCCAGAAGCTGAGGGCAACACTGGAAACTGCAGGAAATCCCAGAGGAATAGAGGTTCTGTGTGTTTCCACAGGCTCCAGGGGAGACTGTCAGTGCTTCTGCTGCTGCTCTGTGCTGGTTCAAACAACCCAGCATCCACAAGCCACAGAAACCATTTGTGTTCCTCAAACACCCCATGGTAACACCCAATAACACTCTCCAATGTTTCCCAGGAGCAGAGATGACCTGAGTCCTAATGTGACTGTGGAGATAGACACCAGGGCAGAGCAGGGTGTGGAGACACACACAGAACATCCCCTGGCTTCTTTGTATGTGTGAAAGGAATCCTGGAGCTGAGGTCTGAACATGCCAGGAAGGGGTTCAGGTGCCCCAAAATATTGTTCCTATGCCCAGCAGCAAGTTGGCACAGCTCAAGTGACCTGAGTTTTGGCTGTGACCCGGCTGCCACATGTGGCCAGTCCTGAGAGGTCAATATGTCTAAACACTGCAGAATGGGAAGGATGTGGGTGAAGACTGAGGTTCTCTTAGTGCAGGTGGCAGAGACACAGCCATGGCACACAGAGAGCTGAAGCAGTGATGTGGCAGCACTGGTGATTAAATCCCAGCATTTTGATCTCTGGGTTCTGCTCTGCCACTGCCTCATATCACCCTTGAGAAGCTCATGGTCCCTGCAGGGTGCTGTGCAGGGCATGGCTGTGCTGGGAGGTACCAGGGCCTCAGGTGAAGCAGCACAGCCCAGCAGAGATGTGCATGGGGCAGATAATTATCAAATACAGATAATGTCCTGCCCAGGGACACTGAACAGTGCAGGTTTGGCTGTCCCCTACAGAAAGTGTGCATTGCCAAGCTGGGGATCCCAAAAACAATGCTGTTTGTCCTGGTGGCCAGGAGCAGCCTGGGTCTGCAGGACCAGGAGCTCTCAGCCCTGGCTGTGGCTGGAGATGCAGCACAGGACGGCTCCACAAGGAGAGGAATCAGGAGTGTGGCCGCTCAGGGAACTGCCTGGGCTTTTCTGGGCCAGAATTATCAGCAGGGAGTTCCTTAAAAGAATGGTTTGTTATTGTGGAGGGATCTTTGAAGGCGATCCCGGAGCTGTTGGGACACGATAAGGTTATCAGCAGAGGCAAGTCTGCACGGAGCGGCCGCCTTCCCCCTGCAGGGCATCACTCTGCTATTTAACAGAGATTTATCCATGTCATAACATGGTATAATGAGAGAATTTGTTACCAAAGAACTTGCCATAATGCACCTCTGCTCTTCCAGAGCAGTTATAGTTCCCAGGCATGTTGAGGGCTGCCCGGGAATGTCTACATGAAAAGATCCTTTGACAGGAGTTGTCAGTATTTTAACACCTGGCAAGGAAGAGCCCCCTCCAAATAACCCTTGTTTTGCCATGGTGGCTCCTCTAAATGAGGGTTAAACCCCATCGTGGTGGATGAGTGGGTCCCATGGGCTGTAGCCACACGGGAGTTTCTGGCCAGGCAGGCCAGAGAGTCACCACATTGTGAATGGAGCCCACACTTCCAGCCGATCCCTGAGAATCCCTGCTGGGGATGCAGGATCACACCCAGGAAGCTAAGCTGGCCATGGAGTCAAGGTGTAGTCAGCATCATCCGGTATGAGTGCAAAATCTGGGCATTTCAGTAGGTGTTTCCAAACATCCTCTCCTGTTGGGCGAGTCCAAGTGCCTACAAAAATAAGGATTAATTCTTGTTGTCAGGTTCAAGTGCATGTTACACCTCTCAGTCACCACATTCCAGTGACCACAGCATCTTCCTGCTCCCCTCAGCACTGAGCAGTTTCTGATCTTGGGACACCCCATTGAGCCTCCAGGTACCTGCTGCTGGCTACCACCAATGCAGTGCTGGAGGAGCTGCAGGAACTGCTGCTGTTTGCCTTGGCAGAGCCTCTGCCCTTTATGTCTTCTCAGAACTTCCCCAGAGACCACCTAAATGACACAAATCTGGAAATGGTTTCTCTTGTTTGCCCTGTCCCAGTCCTGCCTGCTCAGCCACAGGCAGATCCATTCCTGCAGCCAGGGCAGAGGGACTGGGACACACAAATCCTTCCTGCCTGATCCACAGCTGCACTGGGACGTGCTCATGGCCAGGAAAAGTGGGGACTGAGCCATCACTGTCAGACCCTGAAAACCCTCCAGCTGAGCCCCTGTTTTGGGCAGCCCCAGCTCAGGAACCGCCCAGCACAGGGAGAGCAGAGCCTCCCCTCAGCACAGCTGTATTTGGATGGCTCAGGACAAGCTTTAACATCCCCACAAAGGCTCTGCACGGTGGTATTTTTTTGGCACCGGGTGCTGTGTTGTGGGGATGAGATAAAATACCTGGAGCAGGAACATGCCCTGCCATGCAGGGACGGGCTGCTCCCAGCACAGGGGTGGGCTGGTGTATAGCAAACACATTCCTTGTGAGATGGAAAACAGCATGGCACGGCTGAGGTGGAAGGGAACTGCACATCCCCACACCTGGGCACTTCCTGGAAGGTGAGGGACAGACTCTCCTTCCCCAGCCCTGCTCTGGAGGGGCACACGCTGCAGACCCTTGAGCTTCCCCCATCCAAGGGCCTGGTGAGAGAAGTTTGCCACTGAGCAAACCCCATTGTGCCCTCACAGGGAGGAATTTGGTGGCCAACACCACATTCTACTCAGAAGTGACTGCTGGCACTGCCTCCAGCTGCCACAGAGCATCCTCCTCCCACAGCCAGCCCGGGCAGTGGTCCCCATCCTGTCCCTATCCTGTCCCCTCCATGAACCACTGCTGCTGCAAAGGATTGAGTAAGGATCAGGACGAACCCCTGTGTCAGAACTAAAATCCCAGGTCCTGCCTAATCAGCTGTGACACTGCTAATGGCATCAAGCAGGATTTCCTCAGGCTGTGGTGTGTCAGTGCCCTCAGTGCTCTCGGCCCTTGGTCAGGAGCTGTGTGTGAGAGCAGACTTGGGAATGTTTCTGTAACAGCCTGAGTGATGCATGAATGAGAGTTTTGCTGATTTTCAGTGAGATTCCCTCTGTCTCAGTGCAGTGGTGCTCTGCTCTGCCAGAGCCCATGCCCATCTGGGAAATCCTTCCCTGGCCAGGAGGTGGCTGTTTCTGGTTTACATGGAAAGCAGATACCACAAAATGTGGATGCAATTGGTCAGATTTCAATATTTCCAGGGGAAAGGGAAGAGAAGGAAGCCCTGCCTTTACACCAGAGCAGCGGAGGAAGCCGAGCTTGGCCAGGGGAGCACCCTCCACCCCACCAGTGATGCTGACCTGAGGGATGTCTCCTCTTTTCCAGTACTCCCCACTGCTGAAGAAGCTCTACTGTCAGATCGCCAAGACATGCCCCATCCAGATCAAGGTGTCCACCTCACCTCCGCCAGGCACCATCATCCGGGCCATGCCCGTCTACAAGAAGGCAGAGCACGTCACCGAGGTGGTGAAGCGCTGCCCCAACCACGAGCTCGGCCGTGACTTCAATGATGGTGAGGGCTCCGAGCTGCCCCCACAGGCGTCCCTTGTGTCACAGCCCTCCTTTGTGTGCACAGGATGAGCACCCTGGGCAGCCATGGCTCTAACTGGAGGTTTGCCTTGCAGGCCAGTCAGCCCCTGCCAGCCACCTCATCCGTGTGGAAGGAAACAACCTGTCCCAGTACGTGGATGACCCGGTGACAGGGCGGCAGAGCGTGATGGTGCCCTACGAGCCCCCGCAGGTACCCGGTGGGGACAAGGAGCAGCCCCTGCCGCCCTGGTTTGAGCTGCTTGGCACTATGTCCCCCTTGCCCTGGTACATCTAAGACCACCCTGTGCTCGCCTCCAGCACTGGTGGCAGCTACACCCAGCACCTGCATCTCTGTGAAGCATCCCAGAGCAGCCTGGTCTTGGGAAGTGGGGTGTAACAGGATATCCCCTTCAATCCTGCCCTGGGTGCTTCCACAGTGCCCTCTTTCCAGCTGGGACCATCCCCACACTATCCCCAATGTCCCCCTGCTCATCCTGCCAAAGCACCAGCCCTGTGCCAGAGGGTCCAGCCCTGATTCTTCACTCCCGGGGATCCCAGCCTGCCTCCCCTCCTCTTCTTCACTCCCGGGGATCCCAGCCTGCCTCCCCTCCTCTTCTTCACTCCCGGGGATCCCAGCCTGCCTCCACTCCTCTTCTTCACTCCCGGGGATCCCAGCCTGCCTCCCCTCACACTCCCTCTCAGCACCTGCTCTCCCCTCCCGGGCAGGTGGGGACCGAGTTCACCACCATCCTGTACAACTTCATGTGCAACAGCAGCTGCGTGGGAGGGATGAACAGGAGGCCCATCCTCATCATCATCACCCTGGAGACGAGAGAGTGAGTGGCTGTGGGAGCAGGGATGGGCGTCCCTGCGGGAATGCTGACGGAGGGCTGGGGAAGGGACCCTCCCCTGCAGGGAGCATTCCCAGGGAACGGGATGGGACAGGAATGTTCCCTCTGCCAGCTTGGGAAAGGGCTGGCACGGAGGGAGCAGGGACCCAGCAGCTGGAGCCTTCCTCTGCCTCGGGATCTCCTCTTCCCCAGCTGCTCCTTTGCTCGCTGAGGGTCGCTGCTGTGGTTTCTGCCTGGGTTGAGTCCCAAAGCCCTTCCCAAGGGTCACTGACTGCTCTGTTCTCCCAGCGGCCAGGTCCTGGGGAGGAGATCCTTCGAGGGGCGGATCTGTGCCTGTCCCGGCAGGGACCGCAAAGCCGACGAGGATCATTTCCGAGAGCAGCAAGCCTTGAACGAGAGCACGGCCAAGAACGGCAACGCCAACAAACGCAGTGAGTGCCCTGGGGTGGGGGGCTCAGGGCACCCGAAATCCCAGCGCTCCTCAAGTTTGGGCTCAAATCCACACTCACGGATTGTTTTGAAAACCTCCGGGTGCTCTTAGGCACCCACACTGTCAGGTTATGTTCTTTTTTAAAAAGTCAAGCAAGTTAGTAGTTGCTATAAAGTTATTTATTGTAGAAGCACATCAGTCTCAAAGGCAAAAACAAAGTAAAGCAATGGTATAAAAGCAATGGCAAAATGCACATGGCATAAAGCCATGGCATAGAGCACCAGCTTGTTTTAATGCATGTTCTTTTATAGAAACTTTTAAGCAAGCTAAGACACAAACTCGGACCACTACTTTTTAACTTATTAGAATTCTAGTTTCTTAGCACACCAGGCTATGTATAGACTACGTACATGGCCTATCTGGTTTTAATTGAAAAATGTAAGCAATATTTTTAACTATAACTCTATTATGTTTGAAGCTATGTTCTTGGAGCTTTGAAGGAAACACTAGTATGTTTTTCAACCTTTACTAGAACATATACTTAAAACTTATTCCATTTACTTACCTACTTACTCACTCCATCTATTCATTTATTCATTCTTTCTACTTACTTACTCATTCCATCTACTCACTCACTTATTCCATCCAAAGGCTTTAATTCAATCCCTGCACTCTGATTTCTCTCTGAAGAAATCAGAGAGACTCCTGACTTACTGACTCCAACAACAGATGATGCTTTGACCTTTCTCCAGTAAATCTCTTAAGTCGGACCCCACTCCTGACAGAGTCCAAAGATGCCTGTGCATGGCTCTCATGGCCACATATATTTATTCATTATTGACAAAAACGAAGGTGCACTCCCATGCCAGACCCCAAGGGAATGGTTTTAGCGTCCTGCACAGCTTGAGGTGCTCCCTGCCATGTCCTGTCTCCCACGACTCCACCAATTCTCTTCCCCTCTCCTTTCCAGCCTTCAAGCAGAGCCCTCAGGGCATCCCAGCGCTGGGCACTGGCATTAAGAAACGGAGGCATGGGGAGGAGGAGATGTACTATGTGCCTGTAAGTGTGGGTGAGCTGCAATGGGGTCAGAAATAGGCTTGGGACAGTGGTGGCACTGTCCCGTCTGCCAGAAGCACTTTGGGGAGGGGATGTTGGGCAGGTTGGGGCTGCACAGGCTCCTGTAGGACAGCAGGGGCCTTGGGAATAGGAGCAAAAGCATCCGGGGATGCACATGTCCAAGGGTTTCCAGCTCCCTAAACAGTCCCTGGCCACAGTGACAGTCTGGGTGGAAAAAAGGGAGCATGAGGAACTGGCCAGGTGGGACTGGAAGAAAGCAAAGACCTGGTCTTGTTCCCTCCTCCAGGTGCGAGGCCGGGAGAACTTTGAGATCCTGATGAAGATAAAGGAGAGCCTGGAGCTGGTGGAGCTGGTCCCACAGCAGCTGGTGGATTCCTACAGGCAGCAGCAGCAGCAGCAGCTCCTGCAGAGGCAGTGAGTCCTGCCACAGCCCTGAGACCATCAGAGTCCTGAGACCCTCACAGCCCTGAGACCATCACAGCCCTGAGACCCTCACAGTCCCTGAGACCATCACAGCCCTGAGACCATCATAGGCCCTGAGACCATCAGAGTCCTGAGACCCTCACAGTCCCTGAGACCATCAGAGCACATGAGAACCCCAAAGTCTCAGAGACCCTAACGGCCCCATAACCCCTGAGACCTCCACAAGTCCCTGAGAACCCCCCAGTCTCCCAGGCCCCTGCAGCCCCCTGAGACCCCCACAGTTCTGAGACCCCCACCATCACTGAGGCCCCCCACAATCCCTAAGATCCCCACAGTCTCCCAGAGCCCTGTAACTCCTCAAGACCCCTCCAGCTCCTGAGACCTTCACAGCCCTTGAGACCCCTGCAGCCCCTCAAGACTCCCACAGCCCCTGAGCACCCTTGGTATTGAGGCCTGATGGGCTGGAGGGGAGCTCCATCCCACTCATCCCAGTCTGACCAGTGTGTTCCCTCCCCAAACAGGAGCCAGCTGCAGACACCTTCCTCCTACGGCCCTGTCCTTTCCCCCATGAACAAAGTCCACAGTGGAGGAATCAACAAGCTGCCCTCTGTGAACCAGCTGGTGGGGCAGCCTGCCCAGCACGGCTCCAGTTCTGCACCCAGCCTGGGCCCCATGGGTACGTCCTCTGTCACCTCCTCAGGGCTCTCCCTGCCCAGGAGTGGGGGTTATCAGCTCTGGGTGGTGTCTAATGGGTGCCTTTGTTGCCACTGCCCAGGACCTGGAATGCTGAACAGCCACGCCATGCAGCCCAATGGAGAGATGAATGGGGGCCACTCATCCCAGTCCATGGTGTCTGGGTCACACTGCACCCCCCCACCACCCTACAACCCCGACCCCAGCCTCGTCAGGTAGGCAAGGCACCTGGTGTCCTGTCTGTCTTGTCCTCTGTTCCTTGCTGTGTCCCTCGCTCTAACCTTCCCATCTGTCTGGCAACTGGTCAACTGGCCACTGGCCCCAACTGAGAAATCACTGCTGTTCCTCTCACCCCAGCAACCAAAGCCCAGCTACCAATCAGTCAAAAACCCCCACTGCCCTCATACACCTCCCTGGGAATCCATCCCTGATCAATTAGAAATTAAGTACATCCAAAAGAGGGTCTTGTCCTACATGTCTAATGGCATGTAGCTTTGTGAGCTTCCCCCTTCCCCTTCCAGCAGCACCTGGAAATGGCTCCATGTGGCTTATTTCAATGAGAAATGCATTAACAACTCTGCAGGTTTTTAATGTTTTGGCTTTTAAAAAGACCACAGATGTTTTGAAAGACCTTGATGATGAGCTATCATCCACACAGGGCACAGCCTGGGCATGCCCTGATCCCCCTCCCCAGTAGCTTGAGCTCATTCATATTATATAAGTGCCTGAGCCAAAGTCTCAGACAATCAGGAGAAAAGTATCTGCAGTTTTAGGAATGAACATGACCCCACACTTTGCTTTGACCTTAGTGGCAGTGGAGGTCCCACCCATGGAGCTCTCCACATCCCCCACCTGACATGGTCTGTGCCACAGAGATGGGACACAGCTGTTGTTCATGAGAACTTAATGCCACTTTATTTTCCAAACTTTCTCTGCAGTTTTTTAACAGGATTGGGGTGTCCAAACTGCATCGACTATTTCACCTCACAAGGGTTACAGAATATTTACCACCTGCAGAACCTATCCATAGAGGTAAATGCTTTGGGGAGATCTTTTCTTACCACTTGTTTCCAGCAGCTGTTGGTCTGAAAAGCAAAACCAAAACTGTTTTGGAGGAAGGGAAACCTGTGTCCCAACCCCTCACACAGAACATATATTCCCAGGATTGATGCCTGTCATTCCTGCCCCCTTGATGATCCTTCAGAGGTAGCTATTGCTCAGACCTTGGTAAAAATCACAACCAGTCCCAAAAAATCACAACCAGTCTCAACTGCTTCCTCCAGATTCTCAGAAACAACAGTGATCAAAATCCCTGGGCCAGAGCTCAGGGAGATTTTTCACCTAACACAGAAAACACAGCTGAGGTGCTCAGTGGAACACCCCAAATCCCAGGAGCCAGCAGGACATCCCACACTTCAGGGAGGTTTAATCTGGTCTCACCTCTGTCCCTGCTAATCTTTAAGATGAAAGAGCCTGAAACAAGGGAGTTGAGCCCAGGGTATTTTTATTAAGGAACATCTGGAATGAAATAGCCCAGGTCAGGCAAAAGCTGTCAGAAAAAGCATGGAAGGAGTGCTGGAAATACCTGTGTGTGCCCAGAGCATCAGCCTCTGCTGCTGCCACACTGTGGTGCTGGTAGCACCAGCTACCACTGCTCTGGGCAGCACCAGAGCCAGAGCTTCCCCAGCCCATCACAGGAACAAGAAAAAGGAAAACAAAAAATAATCCTGAACACTTTGAGGTGTGGCAAGCCCTGTAAATCCTGGAGTTGGTGTTTTGGCTGAGACAGAGCTCCTGCCAACCCTGTTTTGACCCCATTTTGCCCCAGGCAGGTGTAGCAGTGTCTGTACCTGGCAACTATGGGAGAGATGATGATTTGTCGCTGGTGGCTGGGGCCAGTTGTGTAACCTAAGCCTGGTTTTGGACCATTTGCTGAACTAACTCCGTGATCGTCTGTCAGCTGTCCAAGGAAACATTTAGGAATGGCCAAAACTTGTGTCAGGGCAGAGCTGTGTGTCTGACTCGGCATTTGTAGCTACTAATTGCATACTCGCTGTCTGCTCCAGTTAACGCTCCCCTGAGTCTCTGTGTTGGCATTAACATGGATCCCTGGCAGCTCCCCCCTGTGCTGCTGTGTGTCCTGGCACATGTCCCCAGCCTGAGGCCACCCACCTCCCCTGCTGTCACCCACCTCAGTGCTCGAGGCTGGTGCTGCTCCAGCCTCCTGGGCCAGGACCAGAGCAGGGGCCTTCCCAAGTGCACAGGCACAAGGATGCTCCACACACTGCTCTGCAACCTGTGTTCAGGGGGAATGATCCCTTCCTTCCCTCCCATTTCCACATCAGTTTGATGTGAACCTCTCCCAAAACAACAACCAAAAGTCTCCAACCTGCAAAACTGCGGTTGAGTAACTGGGTTGCAAATGAGAAATAACCCAGGGGATGATGCACCCATGGCCATGGGGGGAGGTCCAGCCTTGCTCTGTTGGGTATCATGGCTATGTGTTCCCCCAAAAGCGTGACCTGGGGGTGCAGGGCTCTCTGCTGCTGGTCCAGCCCCATCTCAGCCGTGCTGTCCTTGCAGGATCTCGGAGCACTGAAGATCCCGGAGCAGTACCGCATGATCATCTGGCGGGGTCTGCAGGAGCTCAAGCAGAGCCACGACTACGGGGCCCAGCAGCTGATCCGCTCGAGCAGCAACGCCTCCACCATCTCCATCGGCAGCTCGGGCGAGCTGCAGAGGCAGCGGGTGATGGAGGCCGTGCATTTCCGAGTGCGCCACACCATCACCATCCCCAACCGCGGCGCGCCCGACGACTGGGCCGACTTCGGCTTCGACCTCCCGGACTGCAAATCCCGCAAACAATCCATCAAGGAGGAGTTCACGGAGGGAGAGATCAACTGAGGGGCTCCGGAGGTGGCAGCGAGACGCCGGCGGGGTGATAAACCCACCCCCCACCACCTTGAAATGTATTTGCAGCTTTGGGCACCTGGAGAAGTTTGATTTTGTTCTCCAGGGGAACTGCAGGCCCTGAGCCAGGCAGGAGGTGCCTGCCCTGGGGTGGAAACTGGAGGTGAGGAGGAGGAAGAGGAGGAGGAAGAAAAGGAGGAGGGCAGCCGAGCCAGCTCAGCAGCTGGAGCAGGATTTCTGCCTGCCCGTGGCACAGGAGACACTGTCTGGTTTGTGTTTTCCTGGAGCATCCCTGCATCCAGCAGTGTAAGGACAGCACGTTTTTCTCATCCCTGCTCACTGTCCGTGTTCCCTGTGGTGTCCCAAACTGAGAGGGTCACTGACCTGAGGACTCAGCCCTGACCTGTGCAGGCAGCGCCAGGGACTGGTGTGAAGCCACGTTCTGCTTTTCCATGGACTGCCAAACGCACCCCTTCCCTCAGCTCTCTGTAGAGCCAGAAAGACCTTGTTTATCCATTATCAATGTGTTCTTGTACTTAAAGGTTGGTGTATATAAACAGAATGTACATACAGTAAGCTCATTGTGCTGTAAGGAAAGATTTATTTTCATGTAAGCTATAAAAATTGATACTGACTCCCGAGACACTGCAGTGTCAAGTAAATTAATTTCATGTTGTAGCATGTATATATGCAGAGAATCCTGTCTCCAGCCTTATCTATTCAAAATTCAGCTTTTTTCCTCCTCTGAATCTCTTGCATGCAGTTGTGGAGGAGGGGGAAAGCCAGTGATTGTCCTGTGAAGTCACAGGTCTGGATAATCCCTCCCTGCTCCCTTAGGGAGTTTTGTTGACAGGTCAGACCTGACAAGCTGGAATGCCATGGTGTAAATTCCATCGTTTTGGAGCATGGCATGGACTGGTTTACCAATTCTCTTCTGTTCCTTGTCATTTTTCCCATCTGTAATTTCTCTCTTGATTTAGAAGGGAAAAAAGCCTTCAGAGAAAGCAAGGCTACAAATAGGTGTGTTTCCTCCCTGAACGTTTATTCCCTACACATTTGGGAAGGCAGTGTCCCACAACAGGTCTTGGAAAGGCACTGGAAGTCGCAGGAGCTGTCACTGTGGGAGGGAGGGCAGGGAGCTGCTGCATCTGCCCCCTCAGCCCTGGGCCACTCGAGATTTTGGGCAGCCTGAGGGAACCTGCGGTCCCGTGACGGAAGTGACGAGATGATGCCACTCAGCACATTCCCACTGCTTCATTCTCCCTCTGGAAGCCCCCAAAGGCAGCCCTGCACCTGCTTCCCATCATCCCCCAAGCTGGGGAAGGGGCTGGATACCCTTCCCAAAAGCCCTGGACCCTCTAAGCAAGAGCAGAAGAAGAGCTCAAGTCCCACCTGAGAGGTGCCTTCTCCTGCAGGCAGGCAGTGGGGGACAGGAGTGTGACACCTGGCCATGCTGCACCCACAGCCCTGGGCCAGGGACCCTCCTCCAAGGCCCTGCCTGGGTGTCCCACACACAGGTGGCCTCCTGTCCCTCCTCTCCCTCTGCTGCAGGTGCAGTCACCATCCCTGAGGCCATCCCAGCCCTCACAGCACAGGGACTGGGAACTCCCCTGGCGTGGCTGACAGTGAATCTGTGTCCCCAGGAATCAGCTCAGTAAAGCACTTTAATGCTTTAAGGCTTTTGCAACGACCACTCCCATTTCCAGCACTCCTGGGGCTGTTCCCGGCAGTATTAATGGATCACTCTGTAGTAGGAATTGTATTTTTTGTAATGTTATCTTTGGAAAATGTGTTATTTTTATAGCTGTGGTTTCTCTTTTGTTTTGGCTTTTTTTGTTTTGTTGGGGATTTTTTTGTTTTTGTTTTTGGGTTTTTTTGGTAATATAATAAAAGCACATGTGGGAATTGCTGCATCTGGAAATTAAAATTGTACAGAAAGTGCCCTCCTAAACCACCTGTAGGACTTGAAAGGGCTTGAAGCTATTGAAACTAAAAAGAAACCCACCATTGAGTACTAAACTCTAAACTGCTACAGCGAGTACAGAGAGGCAAAAAACAGCTTCTGGATACACAAAACTTTTTTTTTTTCTCAATAAATGGCTAAAAAATAGTAAATGAAATGGAGAACAAGCATTAAGACACAGTTTTTCTGAGCTTGAAAAATTACACTGTTAAAAACAATTTCCCAGAGAGAACACAAATGTCACCACTATTTCTAGTTTTAGGAGTATATATCCCATAGGTAGGAACTGGAAATTGATTGAACTGCAGGTTCTTGCAAGAAGTTTATAAACTAATACCTTTAAATGGAAGTCAAGAATGTTGTTGTAATTCAATAAAAATTTAAAAAAAAGTTTCAAAAGGTCTTGAAAACTGGCATGTGACAGCCACCCAGGAACAGTCAGAGCCACACAGCTGCAGAGAGCTCCACAGATGACAAAGGTCCAAAGCCCCTGGCAGGGACACTGACTGGCCTGTGGCTCTGCCTTCTGCTGGGGTTTGTGTCCCAAACAGGATCACGGAATCCCAGACTGGTTTGTTTGTAAGGAACATTAAAGCTCATCCCATCCCCTGCCATGGGCAGGGACGCCTTCCAATATCCCAAGCCCTGTCCAACGTGGCCTTGGACACTTCCAGGGATGGGGCAGCCACAGCTTCTCTGGGATATCCATGCCAGCCCCTCACCATCCTCAAAGGGAAGAATTTCTTCCATATATCTAATGTAAACATACTCCCAGACCAGATGCTCCTGGTTTTTGAGCATTATATCACCTCACTTGTAGCACTGCTGGGAAGGCACCTGCTTGTGACTTCTCCAGGCAGGCAGTGGCTCTTTCCTCTCCAAGGGGAGATTTCTCCCTCATCCCAGCTATTGCTGGTCCTACATCACCCTGCCTGGCCCAAGGAACACCACTATTCTCACAGGAAAACAGAGCCCCATGGCCAGCAGCACCCTCCAGGAGGAAAAGCCACCTGGATGAAACCACACGGAATTTCTTGCAGGCTCTGGCTGATGTGGTAGGAACTCTGTACTGCCCCAGCACCGTGTGCTCCTGGTTCAGAAGTGCCTCTGTCTGCTGGGCATTCCCAGTGGAATGGGAAACTGCCCTTCAGGCTTCTGTAGAGGCCACTGGGTGGGAAGTCCTCCCTGTGTCCCAGCTGAGTGGTTGTCACACGAGCTCAGCCTTGGCTCCAGCTGCATCCGTGGCACTGCTGTGCAAATCCACGGCAGATCTGCTCCTCCAGGACTGCTCAGCTGCTGCAGCGACCTGGATTGTCGAGAGGAACTGCTCCTTGGTGACCACAGGGGGCTCCTGGCCTGTGGGACAGGAACAAAGCACTGGATGGAATCTGTGGTCCCCTGTGAGCACAGATCCCACCACAGCAGCTCCTGGTGCTGGGACCGCAGGATTTAAAACATTGCAGCCCCCTCCTCTTACCCTGTCAATACAGCCATAACAACTGAAATACTGTTGAACAAAAACTGATGATCTTCAAAGCCTCTTCCTACCCAAACCACTCCATGATTCTGTGATTTTTATCCATTCTGGGCAGCCAGGACCCCAGGCAAGGGTCTCCTGGCTGTCACAAACAGCTATTTTCATCACAAAGGACAGTAAGGTCCAAGGCAATTTCCCCTCCCAACTCTGATTTCTTCCCAGCACAGAGTTTCAGATCATCAACCCCCACCCATCTCCATGACCTGACATAGTGCATCCCCCAACAAAGCCAATCCAAAGCAACACCAGCCATCAATTTAAACCTTGTCCCACCTTTCAGGGTTCTCAGGAAGTGCCGGAAGAGCTCCCTGTATGCATCTCTGTAGCGCTCAGCTTGGGTCTGGGGACAGATGGACACAGAAGTCCCATGCTCTGTGATGCCCAAGGGGTTCTGGTTATCCACCCTTAATGTCCCTTGAGACCCGTGAACCTGAGGGAAGGAGCAAAACAGGGAAGAAAGAACATTTTTCAGTTATCACGCTTACAGTCTCACACACCTGGCCAGGTTAGAGAAGCTCTTTGTTTGTAAAACCAAGACAAAAGTAGGTTCTGAGATGAGGAGTCACACCTGCCCCCAGCCCTGGTATGGCTCAGACACAACAGAGACACCACGGATGTGCTGTAGTACAGTGGCTTCCACTTGTGTGATACATCACCTGAGCAAAGCCTCTTTTCTAAGTTTAACAGAAATTCCTCCCCAAGTCCAGCCCCCATAGCTGTAATTATTCATGACTGTAGGAATTTACACTTTTCTTCCTCTTTCATATGCTGGACTCCTGCTACACAGCTGAGACTACCCTGGAAAGGACAAAGGAAATCTGCACAATTTTAGCCTCAGGAGAGCTGACAACAATAACTGCTCTGGTATGATTCATGCAGCTCATAACACCACACAATGCATGGAACAGAGGGAAAATTTGAGTGAGAAAAGAGAAAGTGGATGGTATATTGAAAAAAGGATAAAAAGCCACTGCTGCTGAGGCAACAGCCCAACAAATAGATGTGGCACTCAGAGCTCTGCTCTGGGTGACAAGGTGGGGATTGGTCATAGGTTGGATTTGATGACCCTGGAGGTCTTTTCCAACCTCAGTGATTCTCTGATTCTATCACAGAGGGGTTTTGGGAAATGTGCTGCAGGCATACTCAGAGGGGAACAATTGTGCTGGGCTGTGGAGTCAAAAGAGAGTTGACTGAGCAGCAGGACCCACCTCCAGCCGCTGGTCACAGCTCCTGGTGCAGTGCTGGCTGATGTCCAGAGTGACAATGGCTCCGCTGGGGAACTTCATGCTGATGGCGACCGTGTCCATGTCCCCCAGGCAGCCCATGTCTGGGGACAAAACAGGCCTGGCTCACCCCAGGAACAGCAAACCACCACGTTCTAGAGCTACAACTGCTCCTCTTCCCTTGGGAGGTGACACTGGCTTCATGACACCTTCCCACAGGACACACTGGTGACAGCACTCCAGCTCCTTCACCAGCATTCCTGATGGAACACAGGCAGTTCTGCAGGAGCACACAGCCCCAGGCCCAACTCCACCTTCCCAGCTCCCTAACAAGGGCACCCACCTGTGCTCCCAGGATCAGACAATTTCCAGCATGTTGCTGGAGTGAGGCAGAGGGTACAGAACCCTCCTGAAGGGCTTGTTTGCTGCATATCAATGCTGTGCCATGGAGGAGACCGTTGCATCCTGCCCCTCCTCAACCCAGCCAGCCAAGCTTGGAAGCTGCTGCATTACCTTAATTAAAACTCTGCATTTCCACTTCAAAAATGGCAGCTTCCACCTTTTATGGTTTGTTTAAATGAGTGTGGTAACCCAGAGTGTGCACATCAGCCCAACATGACCCAGAGCAAACACACAGCTTTGTGTTGGGATCCACAGGGAAGGGCCAGAAAAAGCAGATAATGAATATTTCATTGACATTCTTGTGAGCTCAAACCTTTGCTCAGTATTTTCTGCACTCTGGTTCCAAACCTGGAGTCCTGCAGAGTAATGTTCAATGATAACTCCACTGCAACTGCTTCACATCAGCAGGAGATTCACCAGATTCAGAGATCTTCACCAAATACCCCCGAGGAACCTGCCTTCTGTTTCACCAGCCTGTTTATTCAACTGCTCCATGATGGAACAATTGTCATGGCTATCATGCTCTCGTTCCTTCTTTCTTCCCAGTTTTAACACTGAAGTCCAGAGGTACCCAATAAACCATCAAAAGACTCATTCTTACCTGCACAGAAGGCGTGGCCCAGGGAAAATATTATATCTGGCACACTCTCTCCCAACAACAAACTGATAATATCTATGTCATGCACTGCAGCGTTGTAAAAAATTCCACCTGGAATAACCAAAACTGGGTGTTAAGGTCTTCATATTAAAACCCACAGCCAATGTACATTTCTGAACTGCACAGAGATGGTATAAAAAGCCCCCACAGTGAAGAAACTAATACTAAAGGGACAAAAAAAATGCACAGGATTAAGTTTGGTAAATAAAACACTCCTCAAAAAACATTCCTCCCCATGGCTCATAAGGCCATACAAACTCAGGGAAATTCCCACAGAACACAGAGATATTTCCAGACCAGGTAGGACAGATTTTGGTCAACCTGGTTTGGTTAAGGTGTCTCTGCCCATGGCAGGGAGTGGAACAGATGAGCTTAAAGGTCCTTTCCCACCCAAACCACTCCATGACTCTGAGTCAAGCCCGGATTCTTCAGAAGGAACCTGCTGGGTACCTGAGGCTTTCAGCTGGCTCAGAGAGGCTGCTGGATAGAGGCTGCTGATGGTGGATATCCGGTGGATCCTGCCCAGAGCCCGGCTGTCCCGCACCTTCTTGTACAGGAGCTGCAGGGCTGGGTCAAAGTGCCTTCCAAGGAAACAAGGAATGAGGTGAAACCATCTGATTTGAGGACAGAGCCAGGAAAGCCTGAGGAGTCACTGCTGCTTCCAGACATGTGATTTTATCAAGGATAAGTCACAGGAAAACCACTGGTCTTACTTGTAGAACCCACACACGAGTGGCCTCCCACACCTGTCGGCCTCATCGAAACAGGTTTCTGCTGTCTGTCTGTCCAAGCTGGGCAACCCCTGGCAGAACACACCTTTACCTGTGCAAAACAGGATACACACAGGGCTCAGGGGAGACACAGCTGCACAAAACACATTGATCTTGCAGTGATGTACACAGCTCGTTACACTTCTGGTTTTGATGGCATTTACCCCCTTCTGCCTGGCTGCTGTGGTTTCAGCTGTCCCAGACCCCAGGAGAGGGAAGAGAGCCTGCACAGCTGTAGGGCTGCTGCTGAAACACAAGCACACTCACAAGTGCACATCAACCGGCACAGGGAAAAGCTGAATGTGCAGCTGCTCCTCTTACCTGCTCGTAAGGCATCTCTTACCATCTCAGGGGCTTCATCAGGTGGGGAACAAATAATGGCTCCAGAGACTCTGCAGGAATCAAGAGAGATCTTCAGTGAGGACAAGGTTTTCACTAGATCAAACAATACACAAAATCTCTATTTGGTTACAGTTAAAAAAAACTAAAACCCCACTGCTCTGGAAGACCCAGCTAGGTTATAAAAGGAACTCAGTGCCTGCTTCAAGAATGAAACATAGAGTGACACACACAGGTTAAAATCACAAGTGGCACAAAGGAATTACACTGCTTTTCCTGCATCTTCAAGGAGAAAATTTTTTAAAAGTTTCCTTTAAAAAGGATTTAAATCCTGTCAGTTAACATGCACAGAGAAATCCAAAGTATTTATGTGGCAAAGCTGCTGATCGATGCATCTTAGCTTCCTGTGATTCCTTACTTTCTAGTATCAAATCAGCCTTTCCTAAAAGCTCTGCCTTTTGCTCCTGCAGTATTTTAGACCTGACAGTAACAGCACTTTAGGGATGTTACAGTTGTTCAGTTCAACTGTAAAGCAAAACACCCCAATCCTCCCTATTTACACCAATCCTTGCTTATCACAGAGCTCCAAGAGCCACCAAACTCAGCCTGCTCTGAGACAGGAAAACTGGCAGGCAGCAGGGAAGGTGTCATTTATCATTGTTCGGTGGGAATGGAGGAAAACTCTTTTTTTAGTATTTCTTAATAAAACTGCCTGTAACTAAACACCTCCAAGTTTCCATTAATCTGGGTATGTTAGCCCAGTTAAGCTTCTCCGAGACTCCTGAAGGACCCGGGGGCAGGTGACAAAAGGGCCCCTCACTCCCACATGTATGACCAGAGGCACAGTCTGGGGCTGCTACAGAGTTTCCCAGAGAGGAAGGCAAGGCTGGTATGGATCCCCCTGCCCTGAGCAGAGGCACACACGGGAGCTCGTGGCTGTCAGTACCGTGGATCGCTGAGTGCAATGGCAGCATCCTGCTGCTGCAGCACCTTGATGCCAGCTGGGACCTCGGCGCCAAAAGCTCGTTCCAGCTCCTCTGGCTGATCCTCCACCACGTACAGCAGGCAGCAGCTCGCTTCCTGCAGCAGGCTTTGCAACAAGGCTTTGCTCACAAGCCCTGCGCCAAAGAGCACGAGGCCAACACCGCTGCCACCATGACATGAGGAGGGTGTTGGGCTGTTGGAGGCATCAGGTGCAGGCCCACTTTGGCCAAGAGGTGCAATGCTGGTGTGGAAGGTGGCCAGTGGTGAGGCGTGGCTGGCAGAGGTGGAGGACATTGGGTCATCCCTGTGTGCAGCAGGGATGGGGTGGTGGGGAACCAGCAGCTTGTGGTAGGAGGGTGGGGAGGGGACCATGCTGTAGCCAGTGCTGGATCCAGTGGTGATGAGGAAGGAGGGATGGGAGAGCAGGGAGGGCACGTCGAGTGGCAGGGGCAGGCTCAGGCTGGAGTCAGGACCTGAAGAGCTGAGGAGACAGAGATCAGAGAATAAGAGAATATCCTGAGCTGGAAGGGACCCACAAGGATCATCAAATCCAACTCTTGAGTAGAACACCCTGCATAAGAACACCCCAAGAAGGCCATCACGTCTGAGGATGTTGTCCAAATGCTTCCTGAGTGGGGTCAGGTGAGATAGATAATTAGAGAATCATTAAAGTTGGACAAGGCCTCCAATATCAGGGAAAACCTTTAACTGAACACCTCCTTGTCAACTAACCCACAGCACTAAGTGGCACCTGCAGCTCCCTCAGCCACTCCTCACAGGACTGACTCCCCAGACCCTTCCCCAGCTCCATGCCCCTCAATGTCTCTTTTGTAGTGAGGGACAGAACTGGGCATGGCACTCGAGGGACCTCAGCAGTGCCCAGAACAGGGGGATGGGCATTGCCCTGATCCAGCTGGGGACACTCAGATAGGGTGGGCAAGGCAGGGAAGGGCCGGGTGAGCCCGAGATGGGGTGGATGAGTTAGGGAAGGGTCGAGTGAGCCCGAGCAGGGATGTGTGAGGCAGGGAAGAGTCGGGTAAGCCCAGGATGCGGTGGATGAGTTAGGGAAGGGCCGGGTGAGCCCGAGCAGAGCCAGGTGAGGCAGGGAAGGGCTGAGTGAGCCCGAGCAGAGCCGGGTAAGGCAGGGAAGGGCCGGGTGAGCCCGAGAAGGGATGTGTGAGGTAGAGAAGGGCCGGGTGAGCCCGAGCAGCGCTGGGTGAGGCGGAGAAGGGCCCGAGCAGGGATGTGTGAGGCAGGGAAGGGCCGGGTGAGCCCAGGATGCCGTGGATGAGGCAGGGAAGGGCCGGGTGAGCCCGAGCAGGGATGTGTGAGGCAGGGAAGGGCCGGGTGAGCCCAGGATGCCGTGGATGAGGCAGGGAAGGGCCGGGTGAGCCCGAGCAGCGCCGGGTCCCTCACCGCAGCCCCGGGGTGCGCAGCCCGAGCTGCCGCAGCAGGCGGCGGTTGCGGCAGTGGCGGCCCGAGCTGAGGTGCTCCAGGATGCGGTCGCGGCGCACCCTGAGGGGCAGCTGGCACGGCGTGCAGAACAGCGTCTCCTCCACGGAGCCGGCCGGGCCCGGCGCGCTCGGCCCCGCCGGCTCCCGCCGCACCGACAGCTCCGAGAACTCGGCCGCGTAGTCGTGCAGCGTCTTCCTCCTCCGCCCCATGGCCCGGCCCCGCTGACTCGGAAGCGGAAAGCCCGCTCGCCTCACGCCGTTGCCGGGCAGCGGCCCCGCTCCGAGCCCCGCGGCCCCGGGAGAGGCCCCGGCCCCAGCCCCGGGCGATGGAAGCCGAAGGCGGCTCGCAGGGACCAGAGCTCACCGAAACCGTGGGACAGCTCCGGCAGGAGCTGCGGAAAGCCAAGGATGACCACAACATGGCCATAGGTACCGCGGGAGATGCCCGGAGCGCACCTTTACCTGCCTAGTCTCGTTCAATGCGGCTCCTTTGACCTTAGAAATATAACAGGGTATTGCTCACAGGCTGAAAAGCCGCTTGTTTTGAAAACACTTTCTTTCTCCCCTTGGAAGTGAAGAACATGAGAAAAGCCAGCAGAGAAAGCCTAGAGCAGAGTGGCAAAGCAGGGCTTGAGCAAAGCGTGTCCTCAGAGAAGCGCCCAGCACACAAAATCGGGTTGTTTAATACACATCACAGAATGGTTTGGGTTGGAGGGACCTTAAAAATCACCCAGTCCCACCCCCGACATGGGCAGGGACACCTTCCACTATCCCAGGTTGGTCAAAGCCCTGTCCATCCTGGCCTTGGACACTTCCAGGGATGGCAAACTGTGCCAGGGCCTCGCCACCCTCACAGGGAAGAATTTTTCCTAATATCCCATCTAACCCTGCTCTTTTTCAGTGTGAAGCCATTCCCCCTTGTCTTGTCACTCTAAGCCCTTGTAAACAGTCTGTCTTTCCTGTCAGCTCATTGTGGTTATTGGAAAGCCACAATTAGGTCACCCTGAAGTGAAACCACCTTTCCTTCTCCAGGCTGTACAAATCCACATCCCAGCAAAGCACCACAAACCACATTATCACCCAGAATCACGGTGCCTGCAGCATTAATGTGACCCAAGTCTGTTCCCATAGTGGCTTTGCTTATGCTGAAAAAAGCAGCCACAGAGCGTTCAGCAGGGATTTGCTTTGCTAACAGAGTACTCTCCCACTTTACAGGTGCCATCTCTTCCTTGCAAAGACAGATTGAGATACAAGAATCTGAGCTTCGGAGAATCAGATCTGAAAAGGATTTACTCCAGAGGCAGCTCAGAGAGCGAGAAGCCCAGATCAAAGCTATGTGTGACAAAGTATGGCCCGAGAGCGTGGTGGCCATGGCTAGCAGGAGACATGGCAGCTGGGAATTTGGAATTTTTGCAACATGTCTCTCTCTCTCATAGGCACCTGTAGCTGTGAAACTGAAGTGTAAAATATTCTCCTTCCAGTTTTGCAGGCTGACAGATGAACAGAGGCAGGAACAAATTACAATGATGATGGAGGAGGAGAACCTCAACCTTCAACAGGTGAATTCGCGCAAAGCTTCTACAGAAAAGTCTGGTATTTTCTGCTTCACTAGGCTGGTTTTAGGGCTGGTGGAGTTTGGCATATAAAACCCCAACTCAACCCACGTGGATTTAGAGAAAACACTAAATAATAACAGTACTGGTGAGGTTGTTAGTCCATAGATTCTGCTTCGGAAGCATTTGAACAAAATAGTGGGAAAATGAGGCCAAACTTGTTAACTCTCTTCTCCCCAGTGGCAGCTGAATTTCTGTATCTTCTCAGGTTGTTACAGAGCAGGAATCCCAGCTGGCTGAGCAGAACAAGCTCATTAGTGAGTTACAGGAGACAATCAGCCAGCTGAGGGCCGAGGCTGTGACCACCCGCCTCCAACTCCTGAAGCACAAACAGGCCCATAAGGAGATCCAGGGCCAGGCTGAGGCACTGCAGCACAAGGAGCTGCAAACCAGAGTGGCACTGGAGCACATCAGCAGCAAGGTAAGCATGGCCTCTTTCACCTCAGAGCCTGTCTCCCTCTTGGGACACACTTGGGAATCTCAGTCCATTTGCTCCCTAGCTGGGGAGCAGGCAGCTCTTGTGCTACTTAAAAAGAAAACAGACCTCAAATACCAGAAACCCTTGAGAAACGTGAGTTCAGATCAGTTACATCACCAGATTTCTAACATCCTTCCAGACCCAAGGTAACAAGAACCACCTTAAAGTTATCTCCTGCAGGCAGATGTGCCTTATACTGAGTGAAAAGCCTTCTCCCACCTAGAAGCACATAATAACCACAGCACTTTCAGTAAAGCCCAAACTGCCTGTAATTTCACATAAACACTTTCCACATCATCATTCACCAGTCCTTTGCCCAAGCCTGACAGCACAGTCTCTGTAAATGCCGAGGAACTGCACATAAAGACTGAACACACCTGCTCTCCTCTTTTATCCAAAGTTTGAAAGGTTTCGAAACAAAATAATCCAGGCTGCGTTCAGTGTGGAGGGCAGCCGGGACCCCGTGGCCGAGCTCACAGATGATGAGGTCCTGGAGGCAATGCAGGTATGTGGCTCTTCCCAACAGCTTCCAGCAGCCAGGAAGGGACTACTGAGGTAAGAGAGCACTTTGCAGGGCTGCTCTCAGCCTTCCCACCTCTTTACATATGGCTGATTTTCAGAAAATCATTAACGAGCGGACGGAGTTCCGGCGGAAGCTGAAGAACAAGGGTAGCAAGGTGTCACTGCACAGCAGTGACAGCTGCACAGCATCTCCTGCCACAGGAAAGAGAAGGAACTCCTCCAAGGAGAAAGGCTCTGATGGCTGAGCCAGAACCCATCACTAGCCTCAGGCTCTGGGTTCTCAGCTTGGAGCTGGTGCCTTACAGCAAATTAAACTCGTTTTACTGACATCAGGTTCTGTGGGAGTATCTGAGTCAATTGTTTCAGCCAACTCAGAGCACAAGTCACTCTAAGTCCTTGGTCTGTAATAACACCTGACTTCCCAGAGAAGCCTGAAGCAAGCATGGCTTGGCTACAAGCAGCTGGGGAGTGTAAAATTCCATTTTTGCTTTGGGAAGTTTCTAAATAACACAACTCAACATCCACCAATGCCAAAACGAGGGACAGTTCCAGGGCTGTAAAAGCTGTTTTATTTTTCCATTCCATGTGCAAGTCCCAACATGGGCATGTTTTTGATATAGTAGTAATTCATTTAGAGCTCTGAGATACCATTTTTACCAGAAGAAAGTCAATCTGGGAGTCACCCTGGCTTAGGGAGAGGTGTGAGTTCACACCAGTGCTCACCCACACATACAGGTCACCTACAGACTGCCAAACGAGAACTGCTCCAGCAGCCTGTATTTTGGAAGGTAAAAAGATGTGGGTGTTGCTCCAGGAGGGTGACTCTGGGCATCAGTGCCTGTATTCTGACTCTGGGGACAGGGAGTTCAGCAGTGTCAGTTGGAGGCAGCTCTGAATGGACCTGAACCTCCTCAGCAACAACAAAGCCAGTGCTCAATCACAGTAACTCTCTGGGCACACACAGGATCACTAAAATTCCCACAGAGATGGAGGATGGCCCTGAAATGCACTGGGACACACCAACCGTGCAGTTGACTCAACAAACCCCTTAAAAATGGAAGCTGTGTTCATGCCTGAACACAGAAACCGTCAATTTAAAACACATCCCTCAAGTTCTGGCAGTAATTAAATGCTTCTGACAGCAACTAAATGTTCAGTTACCCCAGATAAAAATAAAATTATGCAGAACGAGACGTCAGCAAAGTGCTTTGGCATTCTGACTCCAGGTTGTATCCAGCAGAGGACCTCAGTTCCACGCTGTCAATTACTGCATTTCTCTTCTGCCAAAATAATGATCCAGATGAAACACCAGAAGGAAAAAGTGATCTTGCAGAAAAATATGACTGTGCTTGTTTTAAACATCTTAATGATTTTCTCTACTGCATTCTGACATCCAACACCTTCTCTGCCTTCAGTCCATGTTTGAAGATGCTGCTCTTTCTGCCCAGGCCTAACACTGATGATCTCTTAAGGATGAAAGATCCCAATGCTTCTTGCTGTAGCTCATCAAACTCTGAAGCCACTGCCTTTCCGGCACGATGCTCTGCATCTTATTTTTAAAAACCCAAACCATCTCACTGTGCACGAGTTGCATTGTTGAACATGAAAAAAAACTGAAAAAAGGAAATTGAATTCTCTCTCGGCTCAGGCAGCTGCTAACGGATCACAGTGAGCAGAGAGGAAACTGTGGCCAGGTCAGTTTTTGAAGGATAAAGTACTTTCAAGTTCCCATCCATGTCCACCACTCGCACCTGCTCCACCACCAAGGGCAGGTTCAAACTCCCTGGTTCACAGAGAGCATCCAATTCCACATCTGAACCAGAGCCTTCCTTGTTCTCCAAGGTAGATCTGTTCAGCTCTGCAATTTTCTGTTAAAATCAAAATACAGAAAACAACATCAATTCTGTGGCAGAGAATGAATGAGGGGGAGTAACAATAATACTAAAATATAAATCAGCTTCTGTATTCTTCTCCATGCATGTGAACAATGACACATTTGGTAGGAGCCCCCCCAAGAACAGAAGGATATTTTCCTGAACTCCCTACCAGGATAAGAGTGTCCATCACATCTTTGCAGATCTGTAAACTCGTATCACTCGTCACTTCCAGAAACAGGTCCCGTGTCTCTTTTCTAATCTGTAAGAGTTTTAGAGATGAAGCAAGTCAGGATTCAGAGCAGCTTACCCCACAGCCCCCTGGATAGATCGATCCCAGTACAAAGAGCTGAAGGCTTTCTCTCACTTTAATCAGGGGCAAACTCTGCTGTTCTTTACAAGTCAAAAATCATACTGCCCTGTGACAAAGCCTTTGCACAGGCAGGCTGGTACTTTGGAACAGATTTCCAAAGGTAAACTGTAAGTCCCAGATCCCTCTCAGTCTGACAGTGCAGCCTATATGATGCAGGCTGTAAGAATTTATACTTGGACTACAAGCAAAGGTTACACAGAACTGTGTAGGTCTTTGAATTAAACACCTTTCAAGAGAAATAAACACTTCTTAATTATCAATATATTTCCATGAATGGGAAGTACCTTTGTTTTCTCACTATTGGTTATTGGTGGGAAGGAAATCACAGCACCTTCAGCATCCACCAGGCACGGGTAGTTGTTTTTGCCATCCAGCAGCTGCAGGTACCTGCCAGGAGAAACGAAGCAGCAAGAAGTGAGCAACTGAGAGAGTAGCTGGACACAATGGCAGAAAACAGTGACAAAAAGGAATTAAGTGTGTGATCTCTGCACGAGCAGTGAACAGCACAGGGCAGGGCCACATGCTGCTTTACAGCCCATCTGCTACTATGTCAAGTTTACCTCATCTCTGATTCCCTTAGCTCACAGCATGTGCACCACACACCTTTCAATTCTCTCTGCTTCCCTTCTATCTGCTGTTCTGAACAGATCTGCCACATGGCCAGTGCAGTCACCTAAATGTGTGTGGGAAAACCACAACAAGGTACTGACTTGTGCAGCCCAGAGACGTTCTGACGCTTCTTCTGCTTCCGCTGCTCCTCAGCCTCCAGCTGCAGCTGGCGCAGAAGGTCCTTTGCCTTGATCTCCTTCCGACCCAGGGGCATGATCTGCACCAGATAGGAAAACAAAACTTTTGAATTCAATTTCACTCAAAGACCAGGGTTACAGCACTCCCCTGTAAGCAAGTCAATAATTAAACAATATTCATGTATGTTGTCATGCTTTTTTCCGCATGGAAATACTTTCCATTTCACACGGACTGCTGTAACACCCACTCAAAAAACAGGCTCGGTCACTAGTAGTAAACCAGGCACCTTGTACAGCAGGACAGCAAGGAAATCAGTACAACCTCTAAAGTAAAGTTCCTGGAGTTTGTCTTCTAGGCTCTATTAGGCCCTACCTTGAGCTCATCAGGAGGCTGAACATCATATGTCAGAGGAGCTTTGACCAGCTGCAAGTCATGGGTGGCAATGGTGGCCACTGTGCGCTTCTCACAGATGTCCTCGTGCAGCTTGGTCTGAAACATAAAGGATGCCATGGAAATAGACCAAAAAGCCAATGTGATTTATCTCTCCTATGTGCAGATTCTTCTATATTTAATGTTAGCAGCATTACCAGCTAGGTGACTGAAACAGAGCCCTTCCCTTCACCTGTATCTCCATTACAGCACAGATGCAAAGGTAGCAAAGCCTGACAACATGTGATGCGTTTCTCTAAAGGGAAATCAAGTTTTAAGTCAGAAAGCAATCCCAAATACTCAAGTCTTGTAACGTGAAAGCAGCTCCCACCTGCCACCTAAGGGATAGGTGAGCAGCAGGCCCAGGGACAGGTCTGTGGGTAGAATACCTGAGTCAGAAAGTTGGGTGGGTAACATGGCTTTAACACAGATGAGACAAGCTGGAGCCAAATCCAGGGAATCTCTACATAGGGACACGGTTATTTTTAGCTTTTAACAGGTTCCACAGCACTAACGAGCTGCTGTTACATTAACAACACAAATGTGAGTGTGTCCATTGTCCTCACGGCAATACCTGAGCTCTGATGGGTCCTTCCCAAAAACCAGTTCTGCTGATTTCAGACTGACTGAGCATGTGCTGCTGGCAGGGATCACTCACCCTGTATCCTCACACCTGCTGGGTGAGGAGCTCACCTTAAATTTCACAAACTTATCTGCTGGAAGGGGCCTAGAATAGTCTATTTCCAACTCTCCCAGCAATATTCCCATTCCAAATGAGGCTGCAGCTGTTACCTGCATGGTCAGGAACCTTTTGAGAGCATTTCCTGGCTTCAAGTTCACTCCTTTCAGCACACAGCACACGATGAAGGCTCGAACATCTTTGACACCCGGGCTCACTTTGACCACCAAAGGCGCTGGGTTCTCAGTGACGTGCAGAACCTTCACGAGCAGCTTGCTCGCCTCTTCCACCTCATCCTGCTCCCCATCCCCACTGTCCTTCTTCTGCTGCTTCTCCCTCTTCTTCTTCCTGACCTCCTCTCTGGCACTCTCGGTCTTGCCCTTCCCACGGCCCCCGGCGCGCAGGTACTCCAGAATGGCCTTCGTCTGGCACCCATTGACCATCTTCTCCAGCCGCTTGTCCCTCAGCTGGTTGCCCCTGAAGTTGGCCTCCTTCAGGCGGGGGCAGTCGGCCAGCGCGGCGGGCAGCTCCCGCAGCTGGTTGTTGGCCACGTCCAGGCTCTGCAGGAGACAGAGACGGGGCGGTCAGGGGTGCGCCACGGGGACCCGGGCGGGGCGCCGGGTTCGGCTCCCACCTTGAGCGCCGGCAGCGCCGCGATGTCGGCGCCCAGCTCGGCCACCTCGTTGTCGGCCGCGTCCAGCCGGCTGAGCAGCGGGAAGGGCGCGGGAGGCCCGGCCGGGGGCAGGAGCCCTCCGGGCAGCGCCCGCAGGCGGTTCCCAGACAGCAGCAGCTCCTGGAGCTGCGGCGCGGCGCGGGCCAGCCCCGGGCCCAGCTCCCGCAGCCGGTTCGCGCTCAGGTTGAGGCTGCGCAGCTGCGGGAAGGCCGGGCCCGCGTCCCCCGCGCCGTCCCCGGTCCCGCCGAGCTCGGCGGGCAGCGCCTCCAGCCCGTTCCCGGACAGGTCGAGCAGGCGGAGCGCGGGCAGGGGCCCGCCCAGCCCCGAGCCCAGCCCGGCCGGGCCCAGCGCGTTGCGGCTCAGCACCAGCGTGTGCAGCGCGGGCAGCGCGGCCGCCACGCCCGGGCCGAGCTCCCGCAGCGCCGCGCAGCCGCTCAGCTCCAGCGACTGCAGCAGCGGCAGCGCCAGCAGCGCCTCCGGCAGCCGCCCGCCGCCCGCCGCCACCCGCTCGGCCACCGCCGCGCCCGCCAGAGACAGCTCCCGCCGCCGCTCCCGCAACGCCGCCTCCAGCTCCGGCCACGGCCCCGCCGCCGCCATCGCGCCCAGAGCCGCCGCCGCCGCCCAAGCACCGCCCCGGGAGGTCCCGGGTCCCGCCCTCGGGGAGGGTCCGGCCGCCACGAACCTGCGGCGGGAACTCAGCGGCGGGACCGGGCTGGGCGCTGCTCTTGGGGGCAGTGATACCATAAACAAGGGCAAAACACGGCTCTGCCCCAGCGCTGCCGCACAGCTTACACAGGTACCGCTCACACACGTACAAGTCACACGGGTCAGGTTTACAGCACTCACATGTACAGCTCACACAGCTACAGTACACACTGGTACCATCACACAGGCACAGCTCACACACAGGCACAGCTCACAAACACACACACGCACTGGTGCCAGTGACACAGGCACGGCTCACACACAGATACAGCTCACACTGGTACAGGTCCCACAGGCACTGTTCACACAGGTACAGCACTCACAGGTACCCACAGGTGTTGCAGGAACCAGAGCCTCACCCCACCCTGTATTTCCACTGTAGCGGGAGGAAAATGCAGACGTACCCGCCAGACTGGCTAAAGTAATTTATTAAATATGTGCAATAAAAATAACTGACATTTAACACAAGTGACTCCTTTTCTTGATAAAATCTCTCCAGATTTCAATATCTGATTTGTTCATCCAGCACTTAGGAACATGCAATCAGTATAAATTGCTCTCCTGGGGTAGTGGAACACCAAGAGGTCTTTTGGGATGAGATCAACTCTTGCAGGCATGGACAGGTTGTTAATTAAGGAGCAACTGCAGTAAATCCACCTTTAAACATGACACTGGTGGTACTACTGTACTCCAAAAGGGCCCGTTCACATTCTAAAAAAACTGCCATTTTATCACTGCTAAGTTATTTCCTTATTGTACCACAGAGTAGTTTTCATCCTTACACCTCTGAGCAAGATCAATGGTTATTTTATTTATTATTTATTCAGCATACAGAATCAGGCTCTCAAATAGGAACCCATGTCACTAAAGGGAAAATATAAATACCTATATATATGTTCCTAATGTGTGTGTAATTATTGAGATATGTATTTGGAAAAGCTAGAGAAACAATTTATGCAAGGATTTTTGAAATCCAAGCACACTGATCTACCTGGAAAATGCATAAGCTGGTAGGCAGGCTGCAGGCAAACTAGAAAAACTGTAGTACAAAATCAGCTCTGTATATACAAAACAACACCACAAAGTCACTCCATGGGAGCAAAAACCCCCAAAATTCCCCTCATATTATCATGATCACTCATTCCTGTGCCCATGGCACCAATTCCACATTGGAAAGCAACAGGTGGAATGTTACAGGTAGACATGTGAGAATTGCTGCTTTGGTACAAAGCTTCATGCCTTGGGTCTTTCTAGACTTTGTCTCTCTGAAGCTGTTAAAGGCATGTGCTTCAGGCTGTGGATGTTTTTTTTAAATCAGTATCTAACTAGAGAAGCTCAGTATTTGAGCTGAAAGTGCACTAAAGCAGGCAAAAAGGTCTAAATTTACTAATTCAAGCTCTTCAGGGCCCAACCAAGATTATTTTTTCGTTTCTGTAAGGGGCCATTTCTTGGGAATACAGACTTGGAGGGTTTAGTTTAACCCTCCTGCCAAGTGGGCTCATAAGGCACTTGGTGCACAGTGAGAGAGGCCACAATGTCCTGTCACCTCCTGCACAGTGGCACAACTCAGGAAAATATCCAACCAGCCCTCTGGCTTTTCCATTTGGTGCTAATTCCTGGGATTGAGCAGTGCTTTGGGTACAGCTCTGCTGCCTTTAGAACCCTAAAGCTGACACACACATAAGGCCAGGCTTCCCTCACGTGTGGCTCCTGCTGCTCAAGCATCTCAGGGGCCCCAGGGAAGAGACTTCTCTCCCCTGACATAATTAATATGCTTGAACCTATTAAATTACAGACATGGGATTTACATGAGAGAAGGAAAGGAGAGCACAGTTATTTGTCACAATAATGTTTTTGTCCCAAAAGATTTGGTATTTCCTACACGGGCATTCCTAGGAGCAAAGCCCGGTGCTGTAGTGACAGCAAGGCCGTGGGGATCACACCAGGCACTGCTCAAGGCTAAAATCAGCCCATGCAAAAGGTGACAGGAGTGGCCCACAATTTTTATATAGCTCTCAACAGCCATGTGCCCAGTTATTCAGACAAAGGAAGAAATACTTGTCCTGTCATCGCTTTGAGTATGTTTTGCCAGTGCTTTTATTTGGGCCCACTCGGGTTCTGATCTTGCTTCCTACTGAAGGAGGTTGAAGCTTTGTTCCTGAAGGACCTGGTTTCCTTAAATAGTGGCCACCTACTTTGGCTGCAAAGAGAAAAATAAAGATTATTATTGCAAGATATACATCTAGTCCCACGAGTGAATTCAACCCATAGTTTTGATTCTCAAGATCTGTTAAGTCTCAATGACTGAAGCAACCAGAAGCTGGCAGGCATTAAGCCTCAGCATGTTCCACACCAGCAGTTGCCAGACTGAACAGTCAGGGCTCCTTTCCTATCCCTAGGAAATAGCCCTGGAATCAGAGCTTATCCAGGCAGGATTTGTTTCTGTTTCCAAATTCTAAGCAACAACAAACTACCAACTGACTGGGATCTCATTAGCCAGTACAAACAGCAAAGCTGAGGACAGACAGACAGGACTGTGGATCCAGTCTAACACCAGAAAGTGCTGAGTTTAACCCCTATAATTCACTTAAGTCAGCTGGAATGGGCAACTCCACAGCTCTTTCCAGGAATCTGGAATTGTGACATGAATCTGGAATTGTGACATGCACATACGAGGAAAGCACAGCTCAGAGCAGGTGACTGAACATACAGCTGACTAAAAAACTCCAAAGAGTCAGAAGGAGGAAAGGTTTGGATGTTACTGGCCAAAAGTTCTGGTGCTGCAGGCAGTTTGTTTAACTTCTGTGTTCTGGAAATAAAAGGATTTTCCATGTTCTCCATAAAGGGAACCGCTGAAAAAAACATCACTTGACATCATCAATGTCTCTTTGATGGTGAAAAAGATGCACAATGATAAGTCAGGTTCCTGAGTCTGGACTGGAAAGGAAAAGCAGTGCACAGCACTCACTCTTCAGTTCACCCTGTAATTAGGATCAGATAAGCAACCTTTGATTGGACACTAAAAGCTAGCTCAGGCCCTGATTCCCTGTGTCAGCATTCAGGAGCTTTCCAGAACACTGTTCAGCTGATTGTTCTATTCATGGTCATCCTGTTCTGCAGAAACAAACCCTGAACTGATCAAATTAATATATTTGCCAGTTTTCCCCACCAGCTGAGCTCAAGTCCTCCTTTTAACATGACTGCTACTGCATGATTTTGGGAATTTGCTCCCCAAGCACACTGCTCCAGCACAAGACCTATCACTTAGCTCACCCAAATGCCAACCACGAGTTGCACAGACCCAGCTCTTGGGGATGAAACACTTTCCTTAAGCAAAGGCAAGACAGTAAAAAGCATAAACGTTATTATCATTAATTAATGTCTTACCAGGCTGCAGCACAATGGTTCTGCTCATGGGGGGTGTTCTCCGCTGGTTCATTTTACATCCATCTTTGTCCATCAGGTGAGATCTCCAGGCCTGAAGTCAATTACAAAGAAGTGATATTACAACTCCAGCAAAATCAGCCAACGTCACATGGGCTAAATGGTAATTGTGTACAGACTTTATTTCAACAGCATTTTAACCTGCTTTTTCAAAGTATGAGCTCCTTGCTATGAAATAGGAATTAATATTCCCATTATTTTAATATGTCTTGAAAGGTCCATCACATTAAAACAACCTGTAACAACATCTGCCAGTGTGAAAGGTGGCCTCACCTCTTCTCCAGGGGGAAAGTTCTCATGGCACAAAGGGCAGTGATTTGCCACATTTTCTGGTTTGGCAGCTGAAATAGTTTGAAATATAATGTAAGAATTGCAAAGAGGCTAATTTCAGACATAAGAAGAGAATTTGCATAGCAAGTAGCATATAACTACCCCATGTCTAACCTAGCTCCTGCCCCGTTATCACAAACAACTCCCAAAGAATTCCTGTGTTTAACAAGATTAAAAGGAATCTCAGAATCCAGAATCACTGGATTGGAAGGAACCTTAAAGATAATCCAGTTCCCCCCTGTCCTGTCTCTCCACCTTTCTTGTAGCCCCTTCAGCCCCTACTGGAAAACCACAATTAGGTCACCCCAAAGCCTTTTCTTCTCCAGCAATCCCAATTCTCACAGCCTTTCCCCATAGCAGAGGTGACCCATTCCTCTGATCTGTGGTGCCTCCTCTGAACTTATTCCAACAGGTCCACGTCCTTTCTGTTCTGGGATAGTGCTTCATCTACAGGGATATGGAAGAGATTTTCCAGTCTTTTCACTCACCCTCCCCACGCACATTCACAGAGGCCAAGCACTGGAAAACTCAGGTGTTTATCCCAAATCTTTTCCCTCCTGAGGATTTACTTAGATCCCTAAGTCTGAAACACAAGCAGCCTGACTTGGTGTTTCAAAGTGTGAACCTCTGATGTTCCACCTTCCTGTCTGGAGCTACTCACGATTGCAAATCTTGCTCTTTATGTGTCTGGGCAGCTCATCCCTGGGCACGGCCTCTCTGCAGCGTGGGCATTTCCCAAAGCTGTCCCTTTTGTCACAGTCAGTCAGCAGGTGCTCTGTCAGGCTGGCAATCTCCAGCATCTGCAACACAGTAAGGTTTGTGCTGAGCAAATAGGGATGGGATTAAACAAAAACATCAGTTTAGCCTCACCTTCCATAATGACAAAGGGAAAATTCAATTTCAGTCCACTTATTAACTCATCTTCTAAAGCTGCTCTTTTCAAAAAGCACTGCCCAAATTACATGGGTGTATTCAGAATTCACCTGCCCAAGTGTTAAATATCTTGCAGTGCCTCTAAACCAGAATAACAACAGTCCATGTCTTAGTAGCTCTGGGAAGATCATTCTGACCTGTTTGCAGTGCTCACATCGGGTTAACATGGGGCAGTGCTTCCAGTA